TCCCCTTCCTATTCCCTCCTCCTTCCTATTCCCTCCCCTTTCCTTTTCCCTCCCCCTTCCTTTGTCCTCCCCCTTCCCTGTCCCTCCCCTCCCTCTTCCCTCTCCCTTCTCTTTTCCCTCCCCCTTCCCTTTTCCATCCCCCTTCCCTTGTCAATCCCCTATTTCTTGTGCCCCCCCCCCCTTCCTTTTCCCTTCCCCCCTTCCTTTTTCCTTTTCCCTTCCCCCCTTATTTCATTGTCTCTGCCCCCTTCCTTTTCCCTGCCCCCTTCCCTGTCCCTCCCCATTTCCTTGTCCCTGCCCCTTATCCATCCCCTCTTCCTTGTCCTCTTTAATATGCACTGTATGTAGTAAAATAGACTCATGTCATTAATAAAATACATTAAAATTTGATTTATTGAGATGAATGACTTGACTAGATGTGAATTTTATAAGAAATTCTGAGTATTGAGTTGAATCAATGCAGATTAAGTCACCTGACCTCTAGATCAGTGCTGATCCATTCTGATTGTAGATACTCTCATCAGAGCATGTGGGGGAGGGTAAAGTACTGCTATTTACGGTGGATTGTGGTCTTATTCAACTGGATTCCACTGGATTCTGCAGGACTCCGGTGGAATCTGCAGGACTCCGGTGGATTCCACTGGATTCCAGTCCCATTCCTGCGGATTCCGCCGGAGTCCGGTCCCATTCCACTGGAATCCGCAGGAATGACCGGAGTCCGACAGGAATAGGTAGGGCACAATAAAGTACTGGTCGAAGCTCGTGACCGCTACGCGAAGAGTCCTTTCCGCATGGACGATCGGACTCAACTTAATGTGCCACTTCTGGCACGCATGTTCCAAAGCACTAGCCCGTCTTCCAAAAAGCGCACTAACCCATCGCCTTCGCCGAGCTCTCCTTCAAAGGGTTCGACGATTCCTTGCCGGAATTGGAACATGGGCATTTGCGACGCCCCTTGCCCAAATGGGCGCAGGCACGGGGTTTGCTCTGAGTGTGAAGGCCAACACCGAGCAAAAGACGAACCTGTCTGCAATACTCTCTTCCAAGCTCGACAAAGAAAAGGAATTAGCGGAGGCTACTCAGAGAGCAGCAAAGGCAAGGGAAGGGCCTAGGACTATCAACTCAGGGTTGAAACGGAAGCTTGACACCCCACTCATAGATGTACCTCGCTTCCGACATCGTTATGTATGGTCTAACTCAACCAATAAACACCTATCTCCTGCTGCCCTTTACACTGAATCTGCGCCTCCTCTTCCTTCACCACCTGCTCACCTTTTGCAAGACCAAAAGATTCAAGCATCCCTCCTTGCTATGCGAGATCACATAAAAGTCGACACGCCTTTCAACGTTGATAAACTCAAGTCCATGCTCACAGATCACCCAAATCAACCATTTGTCCAATTAGTCATGACGGGCCTTCGAGATGGATTCTGGCCTCTCGATGATGGAGAATGGAAAGTCGAACTCGAGGAAGTCATTGACAACTACTCCACGGATGAAGGTGATCTCAACGCCATCTGCAACTTTCGAGACAAAGAAAGAGCAGCCGGTCGCTGGTCTGACGAGCTTTCAGACTCTGAACTCTTGCCAGGCATGAAAATGTCCCCCATGTTCGTCGTTTGGCAGAATGGCAAAGCTCGGGTCGTCACTGACCACTCAGGCTCTGGAATAAACGATGGTATTCCAAAATACGAAGCCAAAGTCCGCTATGACGACATGCACCCCTTCGGGCAATCTCTTTGCGACGCCCACACAGACAACCCAGGTTGTCGCATCATAACTTTCAAGTCAGACGTCGCATCTGCTTTTCTCAACCTGCCCGCACACCCTCTATGGCAACTTCGTCAAGTTGTTGTAGTCGAGGGGAAACTCTACATCGTGTGTCGCCTGGTCTTTGGGAACCGTGCATCTCCACGTTGCTGGTGTGCTGTTTCCGGACTTTTGTGCTGGTTGGCTATTTGAAAACTAGGGATCTTCAGCCTTCACGTTTACATGGATGACTTCTTTGGTTGGGACTTTGAAGACAACTTAATCATGTATCATGGGAAGCTTCGTCCATGTCAACAGGTCCAACTTCTCTTATTTTGGGAAGTGATCCAGTGCCCTTTCGAGGACAAGAAACAAGAGCATGGGAGCGTCTTAAAAATCATCAGCTTCTGGGTTGATGCCAACCAAGGCTCCCTCTCTCTTCCTCCAAGCTCCCTCATCGACATCGTCGATAAAATCAACATCTTCTTGTCCACACCCAATCGCAAACCAATCCTTCGTGAATGGCAACGACTAGCTGGCCACCTTAATTGGCTCCTAAATGTGCTACCATGGGCTCGTCCTGCCCTTTCAGGTCTCT